CAGGAAGTACAACCTCTGCTGTGCCTTTTTCCGGATGGTGTTGATGTGGAGACCTTCAAGTTTCTGGGATCCACAATCTCCCAGGACCTGAAGTGGGCTCCCAACATCAACACCATCCGGAAAAAGGCACAGCAGAGGTTCTACTTCCTGCGCCAGCTCAGGAAGTTCAACCTGCCTCAGGAGCTGCTGATCCTGTTCTACTCAGCCATCATCCAGTCTGTTCTCTGTTCCTCTATCACTGTGTGGTTTGGATCGGCCACCAAACAGGACAGGAACAGACTGCAAGGGATTGTCAGATCTGCAGAGAGGATCATTGGTTCCAGCCTGCCCTCCATCCTGGACTTGTTCACCTCCAGAGTCAGGAAACGGGCTGGAAAGATCACTGCAGACACTTCACACCCTGGACACAAGCTGTTCCAACTCCTCCCCTCTGGTAGGCGCTACAGAGCTCTGTATGCCAAAACCACCAGACACAGGAACAGCTTCTTTCCACTGGCCGTCACTCTCATGAACAATAAATAAGTTATACTGTACTACACTATTACCACCACTTACAATTCATGCCATTGTCTATATGTTTATGTTCACATGTACACATATATATATAAAGCTGATTCTGATTCTGATTCTAAATGCGTTGTTTACCAAACACATGCACAGAGTCTTCTGCAGGTCACTTAGCTCAAGTAAAAGATGTGGTTCCTCAGTGCATATTTTGACTGTAACTACATGTGATAATGTTTACTGTCCAACCCCTAAAACTCCTCAAAAGCCATCCTGTGCCCCAGAGCCTATGTATAGCTCATATCCTTTCATCTGCGCTGACAGACAGAGAGATAGACCTACTGACGACAGACAAGATGAGCAACCCTGAGCCAATTAGAAGGAAGTTGCCCAAAGGGAAGAAACAGAGGAGATAAAATATGGGAGAGTGACGCCTGATCAAAGGGAAGCCCTGCTTTGGCCGACCGAAGCTCAAGTGTTTGAAGTCCTAATTAAAATTCACACAGAATAAAATAAATATATAAAACCCTTTGAGTAAATGTACAATAAATATAAAAGGCCCTCAGCAGTCTATGCATTATAATTATGCTAAGAGGAGTTTGTGTTTCTGCATGTCCTAGCAGATTTCTTACAAATTACGGATCTACTTTTCATTACTGCTGACCATTTCGCAAAAGGGTAGAGTTTTTCAGATTTATGAATGCATTTTTATACCTTATAGGCCACATATCCCCCCCCAATTAATTTGAATATTGTTTGAATATAAATTAATAGATGCTTCCAAATTTGGTTGAGACATGAGTCAACATGCTACAGCATAGATTAACTTTTTGACTATTTTTTTAAAAGCTATAAAATTGACCATCTCCTATTCTTTTTGGGAATATTTTCCTATTGTTTGCCTTATGGGTTTTTTGACAATATTGTTGCAAGTGCTGACAACTTCACTGTGATGGAGTACCCATCTCAGGCAAGTTTCAAGTCCCTGCAAGTTAATGATCCCCCAGAGTTAAATGAATGACAACAATGGCTGCTTTAAGGCATGGAAAACATTTTTATCTAAAATAACTATAGTGTGCTTTAGCGACATTGCTGATTTATTATTTGTAGTAAGTTCACATACAATTCATGTTTAAATATAAGTCTTATTTCAAGTTTCACACTATCAAATGTTCTATTCTAGAAAACTGAATGACAAGTGTGAGCTATTGATAGTGCTGAATTGAAGCTTTTTATTGGTTAAGAGTATCGTTGGAGGGGCACAAGACAACACTGCTGAAGCTGCTGAAACAGTCCGTCTACTGTAGCTGCTGAGCTAATGTCTAAATACATCTCTCTTTGACTCGGGGAAGGTCAGTGCCACAAAGAAAAAAAATACTTCCGGATATTTGAGAAGATAACCTGGCAGCTCCCCCTGGTCCAGCTCCCTCATTCTGCCTGCTCTCCACTACTGCACTTGCAGAAAATCAATGCTGAGCAACTGCAACTGTATAGTCACGTTCCCCCAAATCAATAGCAGTCCATCAGGAGCCTGAGGCTCTGACCTCCAGCACGGCAGGGCTGCCCACCCAGCCTCCAGCCCGATGGGACCAGATTAGCTCTCCCTCTTGTGATAACCCCTGATAAGAAATACTGTTTTAAGATGTACACGTCACTCCTTCTCCACATGCTGGTCTTCACTACACACAGAGTCAGGATCACATAAACACCACTCAGGGGCTGACGTCACATTTACCCACTCTGTTCTGCTGCGTGAATGCCACACGGTGCCTTTGTAGGCGTTTCATGGTATTCTCACAGCAATAACAGGAGCATGTGTCAGCCCTTTTTATTCTGACCCCCAAGATGGTTTGAATACTTTTAAGGAAGCATCAGTTACAGGACAGAATCTTTTTTGCTTTATTTATCTTTAGTGCCTAAGAAAAAGAAACACTGACTTGGGAAATAAGTAAAGTAAACACAAAGAAGTCTGGGAAACATCTGGCAAGACTGTTTTTGCAAGTTCAACTGCATTATGTCTTTCATTCTTAAGCACCCCTAGATCACATAGCATTGGTATTTCTGTAAAATCAACTCA